AAAAAATATTTGTAACTGAACATTGCAAACACTTTTTAAAGGTTTTAACAAGTTAGGGCACCAAAAAAATGTTACAAAAATTTCAAGCTAAGTGTCACTCAAACGATTTTGCTTATACGATGAACCCTTACCTCATTCAGATCTCTGTTGTATTTCTTAGTCAGGTCAATGATACGGTTTAGGTTGTCTTTAGTGACGGGATTTGCAGCATATGGATTGATCAGCATGGCCACAGCAGACATCAGCACAAACATCATCATCTCCATACTTGTTTTTCGTTGGCTGAAAAGCAGAAGTCCTTGAAGTTGTTGTGAAGTGCTGGCTGAGAGCAGGTTATTTATACCTGCTCTGTCTACGCCTTCATTACGTTTGCCAATTACAAAAAACCAAAAAGCAGTCTGCAGCTCCTTGGCGATAAGATCCATGATTAGTTTGTGGTCAATGAGCAGAAACGAAACTATTTTTCTCAGAATAACCAATAGACTTGGTTGCATTACAGAAAAGATGAAAAAAAAATGGTACTTTCAAAAGAAACTTCATTACAGACTGTGATCCACACAAAGTGATACTGCTGAGAAAAATGGGGGAAGACTCAAACAATCTTAACTTTGATTTGCGGTGTGATTTTAAATCTGGCCAAAGGGGGGAGTCCGGTGACGTAGGCTGTCAAGATGGCAGCTTGAATGGGGAAGCTCCGTCGCAGTGGCAGCTAATTTGCGTTAGACTTGGAACATTGCGCTACACAACACTTACAAAATATCACCCCAGGGCTGTGGGAAGCTTGAAGACTCTTTGTGAAAACTCATAATGCAGAGTCACTAACAAAAACTTACGCTTCAACGGCAAGAAGGCGCTAGCAAGGAAACCTCGGCGAAAGCTAATGATGTGCGCCCGCCCTCACCTTCAATGTCGGATACTATCCAGGCTGCTACAACTGAACAAATGGCCAAGGACATTGCAAGTCCATTGCAACCGAGACACAAGAGAGCAAACTCAATGCTATCCAAATTGCTACGAGGGCAGTGGAGGCTAAGCTAGCGGATATGGCTACTCAAATAAGCAACACTGAGTCTCACCTGGATTTCCTTGAGGATGCTAGCAGAGTGCTAAAGGAAAATCCTCCTGCTACTAGTGAAGAGGTAAACGCTCTACGACAGAAATTAGATGATCTCGAAAGCAGAGGATGGAGAAAAATCCTGCACTTTGCTGGCTTTCCCAAGGGCTGTGAGGGTTCGGACGCTCTGACATTCGTGCACAACACAATCCCACAACTCCTGAAGGTCGACTTCCTGGGTGGGCTGGAGATTGACCGCGCACACCGCAGCCTAGTGAGACGCAAAACTGACAGTCATCCCCCAAGGGTCATCATCGCCTGATTTCTACGGTTCCAGGACAGGGAACGGGTCGTGGAAGCTGCGCCGAGGCTGGGGCAGCTGAGCTGGAACAACCACCACATCATGATCTTCCCCAACTACTCCAAACTTGTCATGGACAAACGAGTAGCATTTAATCCCTGTAAACTGTTGCTGCATGAAAAGAAGATCAAGTTCTCCCCACTGTTCCCAGCAGTGCTGGTGCTGAAAATGACGGCGGGCAGATGTGAGTTTACCAACCCAAAAAAAGCCCAGGACTACATTCTGTCTTTACCTTAAGGGAGTTATTTACAGTCAAGGGCTTGGATTTAAACACGACCTTTTTTTTTTTTTGCCCTAGTGTTAATTAAAACGCTATACACGATATACTTTGTACAAACTGTTTAGTTTCAATATTACAGGGCTTCGTGGTTTGATTTCATTTATTCAGTTGTGCTACTTTTGAGAACACTAAGAACATTAAATTCCTCTTTTAGTAATTCGGTTGTTATGAAGCCCTTCTCAGTTTGTCAAGGGACAGTTCTAACTAACCTGCATAGAGGTGTGTTCAGGTAGCTAAGTCCCGGTTACAGACCAATAAGCTTGATCAATTGCGATTGCAAAATTCTGGCCAAGGTACTAGCAACCAGATTAGATAAGGTCAAGACTTACCTAATACACCCCGACCAAGTCGGTTTTATTTGGACTCGCAGCTCTGCCGATAACATTAGATGCCTAATTGATATTATGTGGGCAACCCAGAATAAATCCCCTACGGGGGACTCTTCTCCAGCTATAGCCCTCTCCCTAGATGCAGAGAAAGCATTTGACAGGGTAGAGTGGTGTTTCCTATTTTGTGTAATGGCTCAAAATTCACAAGGTGGATCAAACTTCTCTACAACAATCTAAGAGCATTACTACTAATGAACCGTATTATATCACAGTCCTTCGACCTCCACAGAGGTATAAGACAGGGCTGCCCACAGAGTCCTCTGCTTTTTGTTCTAGCTTTAGAGCCTCTGGCAGCGACAATACGTAGAGGCCCTAATTTTCCAGGTATCCAGGTCCACAATAATAATCACAAATTGATGCTCTATGGTGACAATGCTCTGGTCCTGATATTGTAGCCAGAACACTCTCTACCTGCTCTCTAAAGAATTATTAACCGGTTCTCTAATATCTCAGGATATAGAGTAAATTGGTCAAAGTCTGAAGCGCCCCCTGTGACAGCCTTCTGCCCCAAAACCCTGTTCCAGCCAGGGGATTTCAGCTGGCCTCAGACTGGTATTAAATACTTGGGCATTACGTTCCCCCCTTTGTTATCTAACATAGTTCAGGTTAATTTTGAACCTCTATTGAACACGTTCAGAACCAACATAATTAGATGGTCCCCTTTGTTTCTCACCCTTTGGGGCAAAGTTAACATCATCAAAATGAATTGTGCTCCAAAATTTAATCACCTACTACAAACACTCCCACTAAAAATCCCATGGTTTAGTCTTGAGAGTACTTTGTGGTCACCACTCCCTCCGATGCACATTTTAACCACCAAGCTTTCACCAGATATACAAACCCGCCCCATTCTTTCGTTCCTGTAGACAGTCTGGAAGAAGGTGGCCTTGCTATTAAATTTTAACTCCTACCTTCATACTGAGGCCTCCATATGGCTCAATCCCAAACTCTGGATTAATAAGTCTCCGTTCTTCTGGAGACTGTGGGTCCAGAGAGGGATACTTGTTCTTGGAGACCTGTATCAGGGGAGAATTCTCAAGTCCTTCAATGACCTTAAAGCACAGTTTCAGTTGCCACAGAGTCAGTTTTGGAGATACTTGCAGCCTTTGGTTTTTCCTCCTCACCACCTCCAATTATTGAATATCTCAGCTACATCAAAAAAATCTTTGGGGGAAGTCGTGAAGTCTCTAAATATTACTCAATGCTTGTTAAGGGCACGAGTAAAGGGCTACCTGCCCTCCGATTAGCTTGGGAAGCTGACCTTGGTGTGGTTTTTACAGATCAGGAATGGACTACACTTTTGCAGAATAGTAAAAAGGTGTCCAGGGAACTTAGAACAAGACTAATCCAATTCAAATTACTATACCAGATTTACTGGTCGCCACACAGACTGTACAGGGCAAATCTCATACAGTCCCCTGAATGCTGGGGATGTCAGACTGGGGTGGGCACATTGACCCATATGATTTGGAGCTGTCCTAAAACCCAAATCTTTTGGACTGAGATACATGACTTTATCAAATCAACCATACGATGGGATATTCCTTTTTCACCAAGACTACTCGTTTTGGGGGACCCATCACTCCTTAAACATGCTCTGCCTAAGGCTGCTGAGTGGGTACAGACTGCATTGATGCTGGGGCGTAAACTCATTATCTCCCAGTGGAAGGCCCCTTCCACCCCACCTGTCTCTGTATGGCATGTTCAACTAGGGAGACTTGCTGCACTAGAACAACTCTCATACAGACTTCTGAATAAAGTGGAAAGCTTCCACCTGAAGTGGGATCCATATCTGTTCAGAGTAAAAGGATCAGACTAGAACTTAGAGTGGCACAGACATTGGGATTCTGACGAAGCACTCTCAGGGATGTCAGAGTGTGGCATGCAGCAAGACCCACGTAGTCAAAGGATGGCTGTGTTTTTGTTTGTTTGTTTATCTCTTGTTTTGTTTGTCCCCCTTCATTTTGGGTTTGTATTCTCTACTGTTCTGCTGATGCTTTTTTTATGTGACGTAATCTGTATCTACAGTGGACCATAGTGTTCTAAAAATACAATAGAATATTAATCACAAAAAAATCTGGCCAAAGGGCCAATGATTTTGGTTTCCACGGAAAATTGTTACATCACTTCCTACTCTACAAATTACAGTGAATGGTAGTAAAGATTTTTGACTTGAGACTTTGACTCTGAAAGGGTCTACATGACCGTTCACATTTCAAAAAATGAAAAAAAAAAGCAAGTTATTAACAGACTGTCATCCACTCAAAGTGGTTACCTGGAAATATACTGTTCAAAGAAATTAGCAGATGTGATTTATTGTTCTGTAAACACTTGTTACAATGCGGCGTGAGAGAGTTACAATAAAAATATCACACAAATATATTACAACAACCAGAATTTATGACTTTTACTTAAAAAAGAAGCAAATTTGCAGTTGTACAATAACACATCAAGTTGGTTTCTTAAACTTTGTAATGATCAAAGACAGCTACAGATATATTTCTGCTTTTGCAGTTAAAACATAGTTCAACCAAAATAAATCTTTGTCTTGTACTGAATTTAGTATTAATAAATAATAAAAACTGCATAAAAAAAGAGAAAAATCAGTGATAACTTACCAAACTAATAAAAAAAACAACTAGAATATGAAAAAAAATTTAAATTATGAAAACCCATGACTTTTGAAATACACTTAAAAGAGTTATCACGTTAGCCAGTTCAATGATCTTGAAGGTATTCAGGCAGCTTGTGTTACGTTTCCCATGACATTTCTTCTCTGAATACATTTGGTGAGGTTTCCCAGCAAATCAGGTAGTAGCTGTTCTTTTTCTGATGGCCGTACTTTCTTTAGTACTTCTTTGCAGTTTATCTGAAAGACAAGAATCTATGTTCAGTATATCTCTCACTGTTTTGCAGATGTATTTGTCTACCTAAAGTGAGGTTAGCACATTGTCTCTAAATATTTACAACACAGATTGACGCATTTCTTTCCAAGCTCCTTAAACTATGATCATGGTTGACTGAAAACCTTCACAGACTACACAGATTTGTTGTTCTTAAGTTGGAGATGTGTCAAAGAAGATAACTTACATCTGAGAAAACCCAAAAAAAACTTACATGTGATTTCTTAATGAATATTTCCAGGTTTCTCAAAATATCTTTCTCTTCGTCATTTTTGGGATGCTTTTGTAGGATGTCATGCACTTTGCAGAAGAAGTTATTCTGTATGAAGCATAAATAAGTAAACTAAGCTTTACAAATAAACATAAATAAAATGTAAAAAAGAGACCACTGTTCTTGTTGCAGTCTCTCCAAAAAAAAAACCTGAATGGAAAACTTGCAAACTGTTTCAAAGACAAGAAGTTTTCTCACCCCACATCCAGAT